AAATAGTTTAAAATTTGAATGACAGATTCAACAAGGATATGGAATCCTTGTAAAGATGTCATACAGAAATACATGAAATTTAAAAAAAAGTGTAGAATTCATAAATTGTGGAAATGACCAATGTGAAGACAGGTTGTCTGATATTGAAGACAAAAAAGTGAATTAAAATAAAAAAATCAAACTAAGCTAAAAAGAGAAAATAAGAGAATAAGAGAAATTTATCCAGCAGCTACCAGATGAAAATAAGACCAATCTATGGCTAGATGGAGTTAGAGAAAAATTTAGAAGAGAGCACAGATGGATTTAATAACATGTTTACAGAAACCATAGATAAAAATTTTCCAAATATGAGTCTAAAATATAGTTAAGCTATGCTTACTTATAGAACACCAAAAAAGTCATGAAAAAAGAAGCTCACCAAGGCATATTTCTATTAAACTAACAGATGTCCACAATAAAAACAGAAGTTTAAAAGCAGTCACAGAAACCCCCCCCCCCAAAAAAAATCACATATAAAGGTAAACCAGTTACGAATCACAGTAGACTTCTTAACACAAACCCTAAAGGCCAGATCTTTGAGTGAAGTATTCCAAACCCCTAAGAGCAAATAACTTCCAACCTAGATTAACTTAACCAGCAAAGATACCCTTCAAAATAGATGGAGAAATAAAGTATTTCCTTTAAAAAGACCAGCTCAAAAGATAAATGAATACAAACAGTCAATGAATATATAAAATAAAGTTCAACATCTCTGGTCATTAGAAAAATACAAATTAAAAGAATGTTAAGATTTCATCTTACTCCAGGAAGAATGGCAATCATTAAGAAATCAATCAATAACAGATGCTGGTGTGGCTGTTGTGAAAAAAGAATCCTCCTTCATCGTTGGTGGGAATGCAAACTAGTATAACCACTATGGAAATCAGTGTAGAGATTTCTCAGTGAACTGAAATTAGAAATTCCATGTGACCCAGATGTCTCCCTGCTAAGTATCATCCCTGAAGAGCTTAAGTCATCATACTACAGCAATATATGCATACTAATGATTATAGCTACACAAATTTGTAATAGCTAAATCCTGGAAGCAGCCTGTATACATATCAACAGACATTTGGATAAAGAAAATGTGGTATCTGTATAATGAAACACTACTCAGCTGTAAAGAATGACAAATTTGACCCATTTGTAGGAAAATGGATACACCTGGAAAATATAATGTTGAATAAAATAAACCAGATACACAAGCTTAAATACTGTACGGTATTTTTCATTTGAGTGAGGCACAGTACAAAGAGAATAATAAAGGATGGATAGAAGGGGACAAGGGGTGGATCTCTTGCAATAGGGAAGTTATTTATCCAAGGAAACAATGGCAAGGGGTGAGAAGGAGGGAAAGGGAAAATAAATAGAATAAATATATGCCATTTCCAGTAACCAAATAGCCTCAATTAATGTAAACATTATATGCCATATCATGAGCTAAGTCTATTATCAATAAAAATGGAAAATGGGATAGAGGAACTGGAGGAACAGGGAGGGAGGAGGAGGAAAGGGTTTTTTAAAAAAAGAAACAAGCTGTGTGTATATATATATATATATATATATATATATATATCCACTCCCCAAGACAATTGTAAAGTGCATGAACTGCAAACATGTACTAATCATGTACTGAGTTATGACAACTTCTTATATTTGTTGATAATTTTCTTGGTACAGTGACTATATTCACTTTCTTGGTTTCATTATTGCTCTCCTCCCTTTTCCCTCTTTTCTATCTCCTGTCTTTTTTCCATTATTTTCTTTGTTCTTCCACATACCAACATGCTCCTTCACCACCACTTTAAAGCCCACAGAATACAATGAGGAAATACAGTGGTATTTGGAAGCTGAGGTCTGAAGGACAATGTTGAAGTGTGGTTGGGGTTAGGCTGGACATATGTTCAAAGTCAGGAGGAGAGAATGGGCTATGATAAGAGAATCCAAACCTGGGTCTTTTCCCACTGCAAATCCTACCAGTGATGTTTGCGAGTGCTAGATATGAAAGTGTATGTTTCTAGGCCTCACTCCAGGTGTATGTAGGCTTTTAGTTTGGCTTCATGAGGTGATAATGCCATCATCATTGCTACTTCAGCCCCAAGAACATTAAATTTGTAAGAGAAAGAGCTGCTCTGCTCTTTAATATAATTTTAAGATCTTTATGATAATGACAATTATAATTTAGAGTAGTTGAAGAACTGTGAATAATGGTCAACCAGATCATCAGCATTTCTAAGGGCATTTAGTGATATTGAAATACATGTACCATGTGAACAGGAGAATGTATTAATTTTTTCCTAGCTTTGTCATCATGGATAAGTTGCCTAACCTGTCTGAATCTGTGTCCTTATCTGAAAAATGTGTATAGTAATTCCAACTATAGATTACCATTGGGATGATTAAAGATTAGGAAAGCCAAGAGGCTATAAATTAGTAGGTGCTCAACAAATATTGATTTCTTTCTCCACTTACTGTTGACCTCTTCCTTTGTTCTCTTATCTCTACCTCTGCTGTTTTTGTCTGTCTTCATACAAATACCAATGTAATACTTTCTCCACTTTACATTCTTAAATCAGGTGATTTATCCCTTGTACATTTCAGTTCAGTTGTCAAAAAAGCAGCTTAAGTCACTTTTCACACACATTCATTTTGAATTTTTATGTTTTCTTGGTTGACTTTTTTTCATTTTGTAATGTCCCTCCCTGTCCCTGGTTTAACTAAGTTTGATTAATTTGATAAGACTAATAGGATAACCACTCCTGTTTTCTTTTGATTAATGCTGCATTATAAATTTCCCTATCCTTTTACTCTCAATGTACCTTTATAATTATTTTTGATGTGAGTTTTTTTAAGAAACACTCAATTGGATTGTTTTTTAATCCACTCTGCTAATTTCTTTTAATTGTTGTACTCACATTGTTTACATTTTACCTAATTATTGATATATTAAAACTAAATCTGCATTTTTTGTACTCTATTCATTTTCTTTACTTTCAGTTTCTCTGTTTTCTATGCACTATCTTCCTTGGGTGAACTGAACTTTTTTTAAATGCCATTTTGGTACATATTTAATGTTTTTGAGTTCATCTCTGCATAGTTTTTAGTGTTTGCTTTCAGTACTATATTATATATGCAGAATGTATCACTATCCTCTGATATCATTTTATCAGCTTTAGTGAAGTATAGAAACCTTTCCTTCTTACATTCCTTTACACTCCACTATTTGAAAAATGTCATATGTCCTCTCTATATATTGAGATTACATTAGATCTTATACAATTTTTTCACTCATCCAACATAATTAATAAACCTTAAAAGGGAAAATCTACCATATTTACAGATGTTTGTGCTTACTGTGATCATTCTTTCCTGATGTTCCAAGGTTCCTTCTTTTGTCTTTTCTAAGAACTTATTTCATCATTCTTTCAGAGTGGATCCACTGATAAATTCTCTTAGTTTTCCTTCACCTGAGATGATCTTGATTATCCCTTCAATCTTGAAGGATATTATTCCTGAACATGGAATTTTGGATTGACAGTTCCTTTCTTTCAAAACCTGAAAAATGTCTTACTTCCTGCTAGGGTTTTGTCATTTTCTGAGGAAAAATCTGTCATTCTAATTTTTCCCTTTTGTTGGTATTGGTTAGGTCTTGTTTCTGTTTGGTTGCCTTCCCTTCAAGATTCTTTTTCTCTTTCATTCTCCTCAGAATGTTGACTTCTTTTCATTGATTTTGGTGGTGTTTTCTCCCCTTCATGAATCTGTAAAGTGTCTTTCACTGAATTTGTGGAGTTTTAGTCATTATTTCTTCAAGTTCTTTTGCATTCCTCTCCTTCTTATCCTGTCAATCTGTTGGCATGAATGTTAAAGGTTTTGTAATAGAGTCAAAGTAAACCACTGATTTTCATTCCTGTCTTCATCACCTTGCTATTGAGCCAATCTTTTGAGTTTTTAGGAAGGTAGTGTTGTACTTTTCAGTTATAAAAATTTCATGGCTTCTTTTTTATTTTGTTGTTGCTGTTGTTGAGACTTTCTACTTACTTGCTGTGAGTTTTTCTTTTGTCATTTGTTTCAAGCATATTTTAATTGCTCATGGAAGCATTTTTATTATGAGTATTTTATTTTATTTATTTATTTTGGTACCAAGGATCAAACTCAGGACCTTGCGCTTGCGAGGCAGGCAACAGCACCACTGAGCTAAATCTCTGGACCTATTATGAGTATTTTAAAGCCCTTGTCAGATAATTCTAATATCTGTGCCATCTCAGGATTAGCATCTATGTATTTTCTCTTTTCATTAAAGTTGATATCTTGGTATGGTAATTGTTTATTTTTTCATTAAAAGTTGGAGACTAGATCTTACTTAAATCTTTTGTTTTAGCAGACCTCCTCTGATGCTCTCCTAGATGAAAGTGGGGCAGAAGTCCCATTTCTCTATGGGGTCTCTCTTGACATTCAAGTTGGGATGTCTTTATTACTGCTGGTTAGGGATGGGTATTCACCCTACTTTCTAAACCTTTACTGATGCCATCCAAACTAATTAGGGAAGAAACTTCTGATTACCACTGGTGAAGGCGGAAGTTTGGTTCCCCAGGTGTTTTCCAATGGGAGAGGTATATTTTCAATGGGTTTGAAATTCCTTGCTCCCGCATGTTTTGTTTTTATTTTCTTCTGGGAATAAGATAGGCTTCCTTTAAAGACCAATAGGAGTAGAAGACTTACAGGCCTAAGCTTCATATTATTTGCATTTCTATGACATTCTCTTGCAGCAAAATGTCTCACTCCCTATCTCTAAATGTTTTTGTAGGAAAAAAACTGCATCATGATCTACCCTCCCTCCCATATGCATGTACACATATATATTCCCAGCTTTTCTATGGGAGGCAGTGGGAAGTACAGGGCCTCTATAAGCAGACTGACCAGGTTCCTGTCAAAACGTGGCATGTTCAAATTGTGTGGCTCTGGAAAACTTATTCAAATACTGTGAGCCTCCACTGTCCCAAACTGTAAAGGAGGGATAGGAAAGTCACAGGACTACTGCAGAAACAAGTGTGAGTAGATCACCAGAGGGTCAATTAATTCTCTTCCTTTTCCTCTTCTGTAGAAGGAAAACAAACCTTCAAAGGAAGAAATGCAAGTGCTTCCCCACCACACCATGTACACTCAGGCACTCCAGGAGTTAAATCTGTCAAATGTGTCATGGTTAAATCTTATGGCCTTAGTTACTAAACAGACACATTTGATATCTTCCACCTCTTTTTCCCCAGGTTTCTGAAGAACATTGCACAGAAACAGGAAGACAGCCCAATGCAGGTCATCCTAAGAAAGAGAGTGGGAGCAAGGGCCCAGGTGGAGAAGAAGAGGTGAAGGAAAGCCTGCTTACCTACCTACCTAATCAGCCCCGTCAGGCGCCACTGTACTCTGAGCAAAGACAACATCTATGCAAAGCTGCTCTGAGGGCAGTGTGGCAGACTGGCAGCTCCCACTCTGCCAGCCTGTCCTTCATCTTCAGCTCTTCAGAGCTGCTGTCTCGAACCCACCATCAACGCAGCTACTAGTGTCCTCAGTCTCCATAGCTTCCATCCCCCGTCCACCCCACGCCACCCCTAAGCGCGACCGGATAAAAATGGCAAGTGGGTAAAAAGAAAATGAGCCCCGTACATCCTTGCAGCCGGTGTTCACTGGGATTCTTCTGCAGGCCCCGCCCTGCAGCTACTGGCAGCCGCCACCACCCCGGACCCAGTAGATAGGCTCTGAAAAGGCTTTCCTGAGCTTTGGGTTCGGAGGTTGAACTGGAGACGGGCACACACACACGCACACACACACGTATGGGGTCTTCGACTCCTAAAGAGCAAGATGCGAGGACACCTTGGAATTAACAGGTACTTTTAAAAAATGCATCTGTGAATCCTGACCCTGACTCCCAGTTTATTGGGACCAGTCCCTGTGCCTGCTCTTTCTCGGCGAAATCTAGCAAAACCGCTTTCGCTGTAGCTCTCTTCTGCCTTCCCTCTTCCTTCCTCCTTTCAGTTTTGACTCTCCCCAGCTTTCCCCAATCCTAAACTAACCCATGAGTCTGTGGTAATGCAGCCCCTTTCCTACTCCCCTACGCAAGTAGCTCAACAATAGATAGGTAACAGCCTTCTTTCTCCCTCTGCGAGGGATTTTGGGAGACTCAAGGAGGGCTGGAGTGTGCTACCACCTGCCACTTACCTGATCTCTTTAATGCTTTCCAATTTGCACATGATTTCTTGCTCATCTGCCATGTTTTTCACCCTCAATTTCTTGTCTGGAGCAATGTACAAATACGCTAGCCAAAGGATACAATAGATACAATGTAGCCACCTCCCAGCTTGGGGCTCTGAGTCTGTGCGGTAGAGACTTAGAGAAGGCCTGGGAGATGTAGTCCGCACCTCCAGGGCTAGCCTGGCAGCCTGGGGGTCTATAGGACTACAACTCCCAGAAGGCTAAGCGAGACATGCCCGTTTCTCTTCCTGCAGCGTACTTTAAATCAATTTATCAAAGGTTGAGAGGAATGCAAGAGTATGTGGATATACTCGGACCTATATGCGGAAAAATGGGGGAATTTTTTTTCCCCGAAGGCAACTGGAAGATGAGAGACATATCCGCTCACTCTCCTCTGGGAGGCCCTCATGCCTACCTACCGCCCCAAAGTTACCAGAAATCGCTAGTTATTCAAAGCCTTGAGTCTGAAGAGAAACGATGCTGGGGCATTAGATTCTGAGCTGTCTAGTGTTCTAGCTGCTGCCTGAGGACTAATAGCTTTTTAGAATGAAAGTGGGAAAGAGGAGGAAGAAAGAAGGAAACTGCTACAAAAACTGGGGAAATTAAGAGTTGAAGGAGGGAAAGACTACTGGCCATCCATTCAACAGTTACTGATATGCATTACTAAAACAAAATATTTTTTTAAAGATATCGAGCTTATATTTTTCTAGTCAACGAAAGAACTACTGAGGGAGACACTGGGAGAGACAAAATAAAAGCAAGTCCTTGCCTTTGAGAAACAGGAAAGTAACCCATTAATTACAGTGCAGTGAAATATCGTAATATAGGAATAGATAACGTATAATGTGGGCTGAGAATATGTAAATAGGCCTCAAAAGGTAGCTAAGAATTTTCCAGATCACAGAGGAGAATCGGCTTTCCAGGAGAGAATACAACATATATGGAAAGGAAAAAGCAAGTGGGTCAGGGTGTCTGGGGCTTTTAAGCTCTTACATAGTATGTGGAGGTGAGAAAAGGAAGTGGAAAAAAGATAAGTTGGAGATATACTATGAAGTACTTCAATGTCAGACTAAAGAATTTGGACTTAATCCTATGTTCACACACATCCAATAAGAATTAAGTGTCTGGAGTGAGTCTAGATTTTATCTGTAAACTTTATAATAGTAAAAAAATTAGGGATACAAGTTTAGAAGGAGAAACAAAATCACTTTATTGAAAAGAGAAGAGAAATGAAGAAACAGACAGCTACCTTGTCAGCATAAAGTACAGAGCCCAGAGCTGGTGCAGAGGGTCTTTGTTCTTAGCCCCTTGTATTACATGGCAAGAAAGGGACTCTCCCCTTTGGGAGTTGTAATAACTTGATTGGCTGTTTTAGGCCCCAGGATCCCTGAATTGGCCACTGATTCTCTCTATTGGGTAAGCTCCTTTTGTTTTGTCAGGTAATATCTCAGATTTATAGCAAAGCCTTATATTCAAGGCTGAGTTAGCAATTAGTAAAGGGATACATGTATATTTTAGTCTATTAACATGGTGAGAGTATAATACTATATATATGTGTGTGTCTGTGTCTAGGTGTAAGCATATATTTTATATACTAAGTGAATTTTCTAAAATATAACCGCCTCCCCACTTAGTCTCCTTTGTACTTAACTGGAGGTGGAGAGAAGCAAATTGTGGCACCAAAGCAAGCCAGGGTTCTTGCCAGTTCTCCCTGCTTGTCTTAATTGCTCTCTCTAGCAGGAGTTTACCTCTTTCCAGCCAGGATGTGCCAGAAACCTCATTAAGGCCCTTACCTTTCCCTGCCTGTTTCTAAAATTTCCCTACATTTTTCTACATCCTAAGTAATATAGAATTATATTTTAAAAATTGGGGGTGCTGAGTACTTAACCAAGGCCTCATATATGTTAAACACGCATGCTACCTACCACCAAGCTACACTCCCACCCCATAAAATAAAATAATTTTAAAAGTATGGGAGTGATAAAAAATAAAAAATATCTTAGGGAGGCAATACTGAAATGCAAAGTGGAGAATGACTACAGGAGATGAGAGCAGGTTAGTTACTCCAAAAGCATAAATAGGCCCAGAGAGCTAGGCTTTGCACAAAGGAGTTTGACTCACTCCAAAGTAAATATGAGTCAGAGTTCTATCTGATGGCGCTTCAATTTTTGTGAAACTCAGTTTCCTCATATGTAAAAAATGGAACTAGTAAGCTCCATCCCAAAAGTTTGATGTGAAGACTTAATGAGATCATCCCCTTGATAGTGCTAAATGTAGGAGTTGGCATTTTATAGTAGGAGCTCAAGAAAAGTGTGTGGAGCATGAATCACAGGTCATTCTAGGTGTTCACACAATTTAAATGTCCTCTAAAGAAGGAATTGAATCCTTTCTTTTCTTTGGATCCAAGGCATAATACTTTCAGACCCAGGAAATTATCTATCCTAACATTTTTTTTTCTGGAAGTATTGAGGGTCCCAACCTTACAATAACACTAAGTGTCATTTAAACAGTATTGTGTTGGTTGGTCACCATAGCTGTGGATCCAGAGCCAAGAACTAGCCCCAACCACATACTATAAGAGATGAGTGAGAGAAAGAAGCCCAAGCAAGTGTCTGACATGTATATGTATTATGCTGAGAGGTATGTGTATAGTTCATCCTTTCTTTCTCACAAGCACCATGTAGGGGAGCAAGGAGATTCATCCTCTTACAAAGAAGAAAATCAACTCAGAAAAAAATGGCTTTGTCAGGGCTACACAGTAAGTTACAAAGCAAAAGCCTGGGCTGAGTTTGGGCTAAGTTACCTGCAGATTAATGAACAGAATGGGTATAAAGAAAATATGGAGACCAAAAGCAAAATGGGATCCTTGGTGAACACAAAATGCTATGCAAAGTGTGTTAATACTGCTGTAGGGGGAAGTGGAAAGTGTATTTGAAGATGTGTGAGAAATAGTTTAAGAATGGTCTTTGAGGTTTTAAAACTAATGTTTCTCTCTTTTTCCACAAAAAAGTTCCTCTAAGAATCCTTATCTCACACTATATCAACATGTTTTGAAAGTTCTACATGTGCTTAGGTAACTGTTTAAATTAAATGTGTTATAGACTTACAACAATCTGATTTTCAAAGTAATTTGACAAATGTCTTTCAAGCCTCACCATAATCCCTTTTCACATATGAGGAAATTGAGACAAAGGGAATGAAAAGATTTGTCCAAGGTCACCAGCTTGGCTGACATACACCAGGACTTCTGACTCAGGGTCTGTACTGTTCCTATAGTACCATAGGCTTTTATCAAACCACTTCCATTACCATAGATTAAGAATGCCTCTACTACTTCAGCCCGGCAATGCACTCCAATATTCCCAATCCACAGACATTAAAGGGAGATAGGAGTTAATTTAGGAGACTGGAACTTGGGAACAACTAGAGCATAGATGAAGTTTTGTACTATTGTAACAATTAAGATGTTCAGTTAGAGAAAGGTTAATAAGACTCAGCTTCCATGAGTGTCTTGGATCCTTCACCTCTTTAGCAACAAGTGGCTTGCCTGTTCCTTGCTGAGTTGTAAGAAACTAGGCTAGAAATGAGAGGGAAGAAACTGTTCCAGGCAAATAGAAGGAAACCATAGCTTTTTGACCCTTATGAAGCAGCACTTGAAACTGTTTCTGGCTTTTTCATAGTGTTTGTTCTCAATTGATCAGAACTCTATAATGGATGAGACAATATTTAGGAGCTAGCACTGAGTTCTAATTTATAATTTTATTAAAATTACTGATTGAGATGTAAGAAAATTTTAAAATCTCAGCTCTATCAGGGCCAACATTTTTGTTATTGCTAAGTAACAGGTAAGGAGGACAGAGTATGTTGGGGCAAATATCATTGAAATACAAGAATTCAGCAAAAGGGAAACCAATCTATTGTTGAAATGTTGATACTTTCAGGTAATAGATCAAGAATTTAAAAGTGGAGGCCAGAATGTTTGAATGCACAGATTTCCTGCTGGCGTCAACAGTGAACAGAACTAAGAGAGGAAGCATAAATGCAACAATACACTTCTTTCTGAATTGCCTTTCAAAAGGTAGTAAAAATTTTATACTAAATTTCTTTTTGTTTGTCCTGGAAACTGAACCCATGACCTTCACCATTAGCTAAATTTTTAGCCCTTTAAAAAAGGTTTAGAGACAGGGTCTTACTAAGTAGCTAACTTGCCCAGGCTAGCCTTGAACTATATGTGCAAACTTACCCTGCTCTTTTTATTAATTAGCATTTAAACGAAGAAAATGATCCAGAAAGATTTTAATTTACTCAACCAAAAATGTTTATTGTGTACCTTATATGTCAGTCACCATGTTTGGCAGTGGAAATCCCACAGACATTATGACAGACATTAGGCCGTGTCCTCACTGAACTTGATATTTAGTGATAGAGAATGCTACTACAAAGATCATATATCATATAGAGCTATATCAGTCAGGGCTTATAAGTTTGGGTTCCTTCAAGTATGCATTAAAGAAGAACTAATTTCCTTTTCCGTGCAATGAGGAAGCAGTCAGCAAGAGAAAAAATTCTTTAAGAAAGAGTCCAGTAGGAAACTAGACAGGGAGGAAGGTAGTGGTAGTTAACCACCTTGTCAACTTGAATGAGAAGTGCCCAACTAAATTGAATGCACACAGTTCTGGGTGTGGCTGAGGGGATTTACTGAAGACAGAAGACCCACCCTGGGTGTGACTGAAACCAACTAATTGCCTTGTAGCTTGAATGCAATAAAAGAAAAATGAAGACAAAGGCTTGTCTCTGCTTCATCAGAGGAGCTCTAGTCTTCACTACATCTTGGACATCATCTCCTGGCTTCTAGCACAAACTCTTTAGCCTTCCATCGCAGACCCTCAGTCTCCTAGTACTGATTCATAGGAGGCACTACAGTGAGCTCCAGGCCTTTGATCTTTGACTGGATCCTTCCAATTTCCAGCACATAGATACCCCTTTTGCACTCTTCCACATCTGACTCTGCAGGTGGCCATTGTAAGCCTATCTTATAAATCACTATATATTTATATATCTTGCAATAAAAATATTCCTCTAGTAAGCACTGATTGATATAGAGTTTGGTACTGAGAATGGCTCTAGAGAAACAGAATTGTAAGAATGAAATCCTTTAATGGCTTTAATGGTTCCTGGAGTTGGCTCTGTAATTTGATGAGATCTAAAGATGCCATAGTCTTTTTTAATAATGTGGAGGAATACTGATAGTCCTTGATGTAAACTGTTTAAAGTAATATTCATTTTATTATCCTAATTCACCACCTGTGAGATATAAGGAATTTAGCAACTCTTTATATGATACTTTTGAATATTTTTGGAGAGTTGGAAATACAATGATGCTGGCTAGTTGCTCTTAGCACCTCTGGACAAACTATGAAGGAAAATAATGAGCTCAAAACATGCACAGGGAATCTAAAGTTTTCTAACAGTGAGGACAAATTAATGAAAGAAAATAAAGATCTCAAAGATTAAAATTCCCAGCTCCAGACACACATCAATAATCATGTATACACCATTTCTGTTTAATGGTAGACTGTTGCTGTGCATGTCCACCTTTATGACTTGGTGGATCAGATAATACTCATCTCATGATGGGCAATTCAGGTTGCATGGTAACTTGGTATGCCATAATCAAGCATTCAGTTTCCACCAAGGCTCAGTAGCAGGTCAAGACCTGCAGATGATGGCAGAGCCTTGCTCCAAAATTCTAAAAGCCTCCACCGTGATTCACCTATGGGGGCTTGCCAGAGATACCAAACAACATCTAAACTTGCCACTGACACTTCAAGTACCATTGAATTTGGTTGACCATATGGCCCCAATGTCAGAGTAACCTGCACAGCACCTGGACCTGTTGCAGAAACTTTTCTTGTTCTGGGCCCCACTCAAAATTAGCAGCTTTCTGAGTCGCTCTCGGTAAATGGGCCTGAGTAAAACGCCTAAGTGAGGAATGTGTTGTTTTAATAATCCAAATAGGCCCACCCACTCGGCATTGTGCCTTTTTACCCTTGTATGGTGAGCCAGATGCAACAATTTATCTTTTACTTTAGAAGAGATATCTCTACATGCCCTACACCACTGTACTCAGAAATTTCAGTGAGTTAGAAGGACCTTGAATTTTAGTTGGGTTTACTTCCCATTCTCTGGCTCACAAATGCTTTACAAGTCCAGAGTGGTTGCTACCCTCTGCTGACTTGGTCCAATCAGCATATTAGCAATGTAATGGACCAAGGTGATAACTTGTGGGAGGGAAAGGTGATCAATATCCCTGTGAACTAAGTTGTGACACAAGGATGAAGAATTTATATAACAGTGAAGGTATATTGCTGACATTGCCAGTGTAAAATCAATTGTTTCTGATGGACCTTATGGATAGGCATGGAGAAGAAGGAATTTGCCGAATGAATAGCTGCATACCAAATACCAAAATGTGTTAATCTGCTCAAGCAAGAAAACTACTTTTTGTACAGAAGGAGTTACCATTTGATTCAGTTTATGGTAATCCAGCATCTTTCTGCAAGGACCACCAGACTTCTTCACAGGCTAAATGGGAGAATTTTTTTTTTTGTACCAGGGATCCAACTCGGGACCTTGCACTTGAGAGGGAGGCTGTGGAACCACTGAGCTAAATCCCCGACTAAATGGGAGAATTAAATGGAGATGTGGTGGGAGCCCAAACCCTGAATCCTTCAAGTCCTTGATAGTGGCACTAATCTCTACATTCCCTCCATGGATAAAATATTGGTTTGGTTTACTATTTTAACAGGTAACGGCAACTCTAATAGCTTTCATTTGGCCTTTCCAACCATAATACCCCTCATATTAAAGGTTAAATGACATATGTGAGGATTCTGCCAAGTACTAAGCATATCCATCCCAATTATGCATTCTGAAACAGGGGAAATGACTAGAGGATGGATTCAAGGACCTACTGGATCCACTGTGAGTCAGACCTTTGCTAAAACTTTGATGATAACCTGACCTCCATAGGCCCCTACTCTTACTGGAGTGCCATAATGACATTTTGGATGCCCTGGAATCATAGTTAGTTCAGAAATAGTGTTCAATTGTCCCTGAAATGTTAAATCATTTCCCTTTCCCCAACGTGCACTTACCCTGGAAAAAGGCCCTAGGCCCTTTGGGAAAGAATGGGAGAAAGATTGACTGTATAAAATTTTGGTAGTACACCAGAGTCCTTCCTCAAGGGGACCTGGCTTCCTCTTCATTCAAAGGGTTCTGGATCTATAAACTGTCTCAAATCTGGAAACTGACTGAGGGATCATGATTCTCTTTTACGATTTGAAGTAGGTTTCAGTTCATCTGCCCTTAAATATTTTTGATGATATAAATCCAGTAAAAATTTAGTAGGCTTCCTGTCTATTTCACTGTTGGAAACATCATAGCAAAACAACTACAGGTCTACGCATGTCAGATTATTCTGATCATTTTTCTGCTTCTTCTGTCTATTACAGTAAGTGCATACAGTAAGTGCCTTTGACAACTAGGTGCTGCCATTTGACCCCAGACACTCTGGGGTCCAATTAAACCCATTGCCCTTAAGTTTCCCAATTAAGTAAGTGAATTCCCCACTATAAAGTCTGGCATACAGAAAAGAGCAATGACAGGGCTATTCGGCTATTCAAGATGCCAGTGCTCTCCTCACAAATCTGTTTCTTAAGGTGTTAGTGAAGGATACATTTTCTAGATCATCCTAGTGTTCAACATGACAAATTCACTATATCATTCCCATTTCCCTGACCCTTTCAATCCCTTCATCAACAGTAAACCATGGAATATCAGCTATCTCTCACTCATTTATAATGGACCATTTTTTATCCATTCTTCTGCCAACCAGCCAAATAAACTATTAACACCATTTTTTTACTCCACAAACTGGAACTTTGAATTCAGAATCTCTACTTAATGGGCATATACTGACAAATGCAGCCTGATCAAAGTGTATATTTTTGCCACCATTGTCCCACAGATGTAAAATTCATTCTTACACTTGTTCATCAGGTCTCTGCTTATAAGAGAAAACTCAAGAAGTTATTTGGGAGAATAGCATACTGCCTCATGTATCACACTATGTACCTCTACCTTAGGAGCCTTCTGTGATTTGAGCCTCATTGTAGGCCTAGAGGCAAAAGTAGTTAGTGAGGGTGGGTCCTGAGTGATATCAGCATTATTAGGATTTGTCAACACCCAGTGAATTTCCTTAGGCATACCAGGAGAGGCAAACACCACAGGGAGCAAGGGTGGGGATGACCCCACCATTGTGGGTGGGGAAAACTCTTCCTATGGCAAAATAATCTCATTAGAGTCTAGGAGCTCAACATCCACAGCTTCACCAGTATCCGCCCAAACATCTCCATCCCAATTCTCATTCTCATTCTTTCCTAATCAGTGGTTTCATCTTTACTTCTGATATCCATTGAGGCTGAGCATTATATTTATGCTGTATTTCAGCCAAGTGAATTATGAGAAACTGTGTTTAGGTTTCTGCAATCTCAAACTTGCAGCTAAAGGAGAAGAGATTCTTTTTCAGAACACAATTAGAAAATTTTAGATTACTTATGTGTGTCTGGAGCCGATAATTTGAATATATAAGCACCTTAGTTTCCTTTATTAATTCATCCTCACTGTTAGAAGACTTTAGATTTCCTATGCATCTTTTGAGCACATTATTTTCCATCATAGTCCGTCCCAGAGATGCTAAGAGTAATCAGCCAGTGTAATTTTACCCACTCTACAAAAATATTCAAAAGTATCATATATGGAGCTGCTAAATTCCTTACATCTCACAAGTGGTTAATTAAGATAATCGAATAGATCTACATTGCATATTACTTAGAAAAGTTCACACCAAAGACTATCAGTATTCCCCACATTATCAAGAGAGACCATGACATCTTTAAATCTCATCAAATGAGAGAACCATCTCCAAGAACCCCTAAATCCATTAAAGAATCCCATCTTTACAATTCTGTTTTTCTAGAGCCACTCCTGGTACCAAAATCTGTATCAGTCAGTGCTTATGAGTGAAACAAATTTAATGCAAGATATACAAATATGTGAGGATTTACAAGATAGGATTAAATGGCTCTCTGCAGACTCAGGTGTGGAACAGTGCAAAAGGGACATCTTTATGGTGGAGATTAGAAGGATCCATCAATGGCCAAAGGCCTGGAGCTCACTGTAGTGTCCCATATGAATCAGTATCAGGATGGCAAGGGTCTGTAATGGAAGGCTGAAGAGTTTATGCTAGCAGCCAGGAGACAACATCCAAGTTGAAGGTGAAGACTGGAGCTCCTCCAAGAAAACAGAAGCGAGACTTCCTTCTCTGTTTCCTTTTTATTGCATTCTGGCTACAAGCCTATTGATTGGTGCCACTCAAACCCAGGGTGAGTCTTCTGTCCTCAGTAATTCTCGTCAACCATACCCAGAGCTATGCAAATCCAAGTTAGTTGGATGTTTCTTACTCAAGTTGACATGATCAGTTAACTATCACAATAAACAAGTTATGTTAAGAAGTTGTCCAGATGCCCACAGTTCCTACTCCTGCTATCTTTTCTTCTGTATATGGCCTCATGGGGTGTACCATATGATTAGCTGTAGGAGGAAGAGAAGCCAAGGGCCTGGCTTACAGATGATTCTATATGTTATGCAAGCACCACCCACAAGTGAACAGTTGTAGCATTACAGGCCCTTACCAGGAGATCTCTGAAGGACTGTGGTGAAAAGAGAGCTTCAAAATGGGCAGAACTTTGGGCAGTACACTTGGTAGTACATTTTGCCTTGAAGGTAATATGGCCAGATGTGTGATTGTGTACTAATTCATGTGTTGTAGCCAATCTGGCAGAATGGTCAGGAACTCAGAAAGAACATGACTAATTGATGACAAATGTATTCAAAAAGTGGCCTCAGCAGAAGACTTTAACAATAAAGTGGATAGAGTAACCTATTCTGTCTACAGGGGTCAACCTCTTTCTTCAGTCACTCCTATCATTGTCCAATGGGCTCATGAACAAAGTGACCATGGTGGCAGAGATGGAGGTTATGCCTGGGCTCAACAACATGGACTCCCACTCACCAAAGCTAATCTGGCTACAGCCACTGCTGAATGCCCAATATGCTAGCAGCAGAGGTCAGTATTGAGTCACCAACTTGGCAGCAGGTTGATTATGCTGAATTGCTTCCATATTGCAAAGGACAGTGCTTTGTGCTTACTGGCAGAGACACTTATTCTGGATATGGACTTGCCTTCCCTGTATGTGATGTTTCTGCCAAATCCACCATCCATGAACTTACAGAATGCCTTATCCACCATCATGGAATAAGAAACACATTTTACAGCCAGAGAAATCAGGCAGTGGGCTCATGCTCATGGAATTCATTGGTCTTACCATGTTCCTTACTATCTAGAAGCAGCTGGATTGATAGAAAGGTGGAGTGGTCTGTTGAAGATGCAGTTACAGAGCTAGCTAGGTGGCAATAGCTTGCATGCCTGGGGCAAGGTTCTTCAAAAGGCTATATATGCTTTGATTAAGCATCCATTATATGGTACAGTGTCTCCAATACCCAGGATTCATGGGTCCAGGAATCAAGGAGTAGAAGTGGAAATGTTGCATCTCACCATTACCCTATTGATCCACTAGTAAAGTTTTTGCTTCTTGTACCCATGACCTTATGCTTTGCTAGCCTAGAAGTCTTAGCTCCAGAGTGGGGAAAGCTTGTATCAGGAAGCAAAACAATGATTCCACTAAACTGATACCAGAAATATAGCACTTTTCATGCATTGTTAGTTAAATCCTTGCATTAACCCTATGACATATATACAGTACTATTATTTTCCTCACTTTACAGAAGAGGAAGCTAAGCCATGAAGAATTTGAGAAACTTGCTCAGAGTCACACATATAGTAAATGGCAGAATAGAATTTGAATTTACAGACTTGTTCCAGAATCAGTCATGGTTTTAGCCATTATGTTCTATTGATTCTCTAAAATCCATACCCTCATGAAATTTATATTATAGGGGGAGGTGTCAGAATTACAAAAAGAAAAAATAACTAAAAATATTGTCATATTAGTTGGAGCTAAGGCCATAAAGTGTCTAAACAACCTTACAAACTGTGCTGATGACTTAAGATTTTATTTTAAGCAGGGAAGCAACATGATCTGTAAATCAGTATAGAGAGCCCTGAAAAACTAAAAATAGAAATGCCATTCCACCCAACTATTCCACTTCTAGTTATCTTCTTGTAAGAGATAAGAATATCTCTTTATGTATGTATCATATTATAGTGATACATACATCCCTATGTTTATAGTAGCACAATTTGTAATAGCTAAATTTTGAAAGTTGCTCATATGTCCATAAACAGATGAACGGATAAAGACAACATGGTAGTTACACACAATGGTATTTATATATTCTGTTATAAAAAAGGATAAATTTGAGTCATTTGTAAGAAATGAATACACCTTGAAACCATAATATTAAGTGAAATAAATCATAAACGCAAGCTTAAGCATTGCATGATTTCTTTTATATGAAGAATTCAGAATATAAAAATCAAAATAAAAGATAAATAATTAGAAATGGGGAGAGAGTTCTTTTAGAAAAAAGGAAAGGGACTATGAGCTGGTGGGAGAAGAGAGGAAGGGGAGAGGAAGTGAAGGGAAGGAGAAAGGGAGGGTAGAAGAGAGGGAAGGGAAGGGAAAGAAATGAAGAGAGAATTAAGATGTTTTATGTACATGTACCAATTCCCACAAGGAATACAATCATTTTGTTCTGCAAACATGTAGTAATAAAAAATAAAAATTAAAAAGAAATCAATGAGTACTCTGAAGAGAATAAATTGTACTGGGCAAGAATGGAAGCAGAAAAATTATTTAAAAAGCTATTAAATTTGTGCAGAAAGAGATGATGGTGACTTAAATTTCAGTAGTAATAGTAGATATCAATAAAAATAGACTTACTAGAAACATTACTGAACAAAAAAATGATATGACTAGTTCATGAATGGTATATGGAGGTGGAGAGGGAGAGGTAGAGTATATAAAATGAATCCTGTAAGAAGTACAATAATAGAAGGAATAAGTGTTCCTGTTCTATTGAATACTAGGGTGATTAATAATAATGTAGTGTGTATTCTAAAGTAGGTATATGAAGAGATTTTGAATGTTTTCACCAAAAATAAATAAATATTTAAGGTGATGAATATGCTAGTTCTTTTGATTTGATCTTTACACTGTGTATACATGTATCAAAATATCACATTTTACCTACAAACATGTACAATTATTGTATGCCAATCAAAAATAAAATAAAACAAATAATAATAATTCAAAAATAATAAATTTCCTCCTGGAGTTGGGTCCTGAGAAATGAGAGACAGTGCCTGTTTCTGTGACAGAAAGATTCAAAGAGGAAATAAAATGTTAGAGCTGATGTAGCTTCCACATGTGACATATGGAAAAATTGAAGATTAGAAATGGTAATTGACCGGCCTGGGTTAGGGAATTAAGGATTGAAATAGATAATCTTATTCTTCACACTTTTCCAGAAAACTTTCATGCTCTCCCTCTCTTCAACCAGTTTGAGGAGTGGTAATTTCAAACTTACCTAAGTTTACTCCAGTTGATGGGAGTTGTGAATAATTAACATAATTTGCATCTATCTACAAATATTGTTAGGTATTTTCTAGCAATATTTCAGGTGTGATTCTTGCTATTTTTGATGGTGTTATTCCACTGAACTTTCCTTTATTCTTTCTCATTTACCCAATGTCACTGTCCAATGTCACTGTCCTAGATCCCTGAACTGCAAAGTGCAGAGAACAAAGAAGTCTCAGCAGTGGGAGTAGGAGAGCCCCACTTTTCCCTTCTCCAAGTCTATAAAACCCTAATGTTAAAACTCTTATTATAAAAATAGTCTGCTGTATATCTGCTGAATTTTCTTAGGAACTTTTACCAGTTTCCTCAGAAACACAATAGGGGAGAAGTCCCATTGATTTCTGAGTCCAGAAACATGGATTCAAATTCCACTTCTGATACTTCCACCTCATGTCTTCTTAGGCAAGTCCTTTTCTCTATTAGACCTCAATTTCCACATCTGTAATATGACAGGATGGAACTATCTAAAGTCCTTTGGAACTTTATATAACAAGAAACACATGTTTAAAAGCTCCATTTTGCAAGCTCCAAAACATATGAACCTAAGGCCCTCCCTGGTTTATTTTCCCATATTATCCCTCTACCCAAGTAAGTGTGAGTCATCTGCGCTTGTCCTTTCTTGTTTAAAGTATTCTAAAAGTGATTTCATCATTTCCTTGAACTTTTTCTTTCTGTGATTTTTCTCACAGCAGTTTTATTCTGACCAGAAGAAAGAAGAAATTATGTAAACAACATCTTTTATTGTATTTCTCTCTCTTCATTCTGAAAGTGTTCTGTTTCCATGAAGAAATAAGCTCAGGAATTAGGAGACTCATGTTCAGGAACTGGCTGTACCCATTATCCAGCCAAAGCCAAGGCTTCTGGGCTAGTCGCCACTATTTTGGTCAGGCCCTTGTGTGAGATTTACTCTCCTTTCATCCCTCCTCCCCTCATCTCATACAGTATGTAAATGAACTTCTCTTCTGCATCCCCTCCCATGAATCGTCCCATAAAGACACCCTCTTATTATTACAACATCTAGACTCCAAGGGGTATCATGTCTCCCCTTCTAAGGCTCAAATCTCTTCCCCATCTGTCACCTATCTGGGCATCATTCTCCACAAACATACCAAAGCCCTACCTCCAGATGGTGTCCACTTAATTTCCCAGATTCCAGTTCCTACTACCAAACCACAGCTTCTTTCCTTCCTCAGCATGCCAGGATATTTCTGCTTCTGGGTTCCCAGCTTTGCTCTCCTTATGAAACCCCTCTACAAACTTACAAAGGGACATCCAGCTGAGCCCTTAGATCACAAAGCCTTCCCTCACTCATCCTTTCACAAACTAAAAGAATCCCTAAGAACAGCCACCACTTTCACCCTCCCAGACCTCACCCAATCTTTCAGCCTTTATATGGCAGAATGCAAGAAGTGTGCAGTAGAGGTTCTGATACAAGGTCTCGGCCCATGGCCAATTGCATTTCTGTCCAAGGAGCTTGATCCCACTGTCATACGCTGGCCACAACACCTATGAATAGCTGCTGCTGTAGCCCTGCTACTTCTAGAGACATTCAAAATCACTATACATGCTCCACTCACCCTTTACTCTTCCCACAACCTTCATAAACCCTTTTTTTTTATCCCACGTCTCACACTTTCTCTCTACCTCTTGCCTTATTCAATTCTGTGCATGTTTCATAGAGACTCCCACAGTTACAATCACCCTGGACCCTGACTTTAATCCAGCCACTCACTTTATCAACCCACCACCCCTTTCCAAAAAGCCTGAATCACATGACTGCATGTCTCTAATACATATAGCAACCTCCCTCTTTCCTCACATTACCACCTTTCCCCTTCCCAATCCAACCACACCTAGTTTATCAATGGGAATTCATACAAGCCTGCTCCCAACTCCCCTGTCAGGGCAGGATATGCTATTGTCTCCCAAGACTCTATTATAGAAGCTGCAGCTCTTCTTCCTTTCACTACCTCTTAACAGGCTGAACTAACTGCTCTGACCCATGCTCTTACACAAGCTAAGGGCTTATAAGTTGACATCTATACTGATTCAAAGTATTCATTTCATATTACAAATCACACTGCCATCTGGGCAGAAAGAAGGTTGTTAGCCTCCCAAGGGTCTTCAAACATTAATGCACACTCATTAAAGCCCTTCTTCAGGATGCTTTTCTACCTACATAGGCTGCTGTGCCAGAAACTTTCAGACCCCATAGCTGCCAGAAATGCCTTTGCAGATGAAACCACAAAGGAAGCTGCTAATCTCTCCCTCTAGGGCACTAAGGTTCAGTATTTTTCCCTTTCTGGATTCACTACAGCCTACTCTCCTTCCAAGCACCAACAATATCAAGGCCTTCCCACCAAAGATAGATGGTTCCTAAATCAGGGAAAATTCCTCCTCCCTGCCTTACAGGCCAAAGTCATTCTTTCATCACTTCATGACAATTTTCATGCAGGCTACAAACCTCTAACTTGTCTGCTTGAGCCTCTTATCTGTTTTCCTTCCTGGAAGATGCTCCTCAAAACTATCACAGCTCAATGTTCTGTTAGCCAAGTAATCACAGCTCAGGGCTCCCTGAGGTCCCCTCCTTTTCCTACATATCAGTTGCAAGGTTTCTCCCCAACTCAGGACTGGCAGATTGACTTCACTCATATGCCATGAGTGCAAAAGTTAAAATATCTCCTGGTATGGGGCAACACCTTCACAGGGTGGATAGAGGGTTTTCCCAT